CGGCCCGTCCCCGCAGCCCCCCGAAAGCCAGAGACGTGTCGGCGGGTAGCGGGTTTATTCTCCGATTTTCTTTACAAGGAGCGGGGCAGCCGTGGCCGGCGAGGGGCTGGAGTGGGTGGGGAGCTGTCCCCGGCATCAAATGGTGCAGTTTCCCTCTCCGAAGCGCCGGCACTTCATCACCTTCAGGTAGGTCTCCACCTTGTGCAGGTCCTTCTTGAAGCAGGAGAGCAAGCCGTAGTTCTTCAGCAGGGCGTCCTCGTTGCGCAGGTGGATGTCGAATTTGTCGTAGGTGGGTTTGAGGATCTGGGGACCCCGCGGGCTCCGGTCCTCCAGCTCCTGCGAGAGGATGGAGAGGTGCTGGGGGAGACGGCGGGGGCCTGGGGATGAGCATCCTCCAAGGGGCCCATTGCCATGGCTCCCGTCCAGCTTTAGAGGAGGGTGGGGTCCCCCCCCCCTTAAGCATATTTCAAACATACTTTTGAGTTTATGTGCTTACAGGAAGGGTAATTATGTGGGGGTGATGCTACACAAATTGCTGGCAGCAAGAAGGGAGCTGGGCACAAGGCTGCAGGGAGGGAGGAGCGTGTCTTTTGGGGTCTTAAAATAAGGGGAAAGTTGCAGGGTCTCTCTGTAGCTACTCTTTTATAATAATTCTCTTTTCTCCCGCTTCCCCAGTGAACAAAGCTCTAACGCAGACCCAAGGCACGTGCACCCGGAGCTGAGAACTGCAGTCTGCCACTCCTCCTGCCCTGCTTTGCTCACCAGATGGCACAGTAAACAGGACAGTTTTGGTTAAGTACACAGTGTCGTAAATGGATGAAATGTGATTATTTGTCTAGTTTCTGTGTACTGCTTCCCAATGCCCAAGCACATATTAAACGGAGAGCAAAACCTGGAAGTGGTACCGATACATACACCTACTTACTCCAGCTGAAGTGCCAGGACAGAAAATATCTGTTTACTCTCAGGGCCTGCCCTTCAGAGTTATTTAGATGCCAGAAGATGTAAGTAGTTGTCCAGACTCATTTCTCACAGATACAGGTCTCAGAGCTCTAGCTACATGGTGATGCTGGCAGATGAACTTAGTTATAGAGTAAGCATAACTGAAAAGGTGTCCTGGCAGATAATAAGCAATTTCATTTAAAATAACGAAGCAAAAATTAAGAGTGACCCTTGACAAAGATCACTCTCCAGCTCTCGGCTGTCTGGGTGCCGTATTAATGTAAGAGAGAAACATCAGAGCATAGGCTTCCATCTGTACACAGACTTACACAGGTTGTTTTTATAACGTCATGAATCCTTAAACCCAGGTTGCAAACCTCGCAAAATTTACTGCACTTTAAAGTATTTTGCGTGGGGATGTAGCAAACATTATGTTGCTGTTTGTACAGCAGATTTAAGCAACTGAATATTCTTTGGTGCTGGGTTTGGAAAGACTTTGGGTCTGGACTGTTGTGATCTTCCTGGTCTGTACTGCTATCTGAGTGGTTATGGCAGTGCTATTAACATTTGTTGCGTGTTTTCTTATACTCCCCAGTGATGAAACGTGTGCAATGGGGTGCCATGATCTCATTATCTTAAGGTAAGCAAAGTCCAAAGGATGCCACTGGTCTTCAGAGTGGAAGGTGGGGAGATGTCTCATGGTTTTTGGATCCTGTGGAAGACCCTGAGAGCCGAGTGCCCTGTGTCTAGGAGATCTCTGTTATTCTGTAGTCACGCTACATGCTGCAACTTACCCTCATGAGAGCTTGGATCCCTTCTTCCAGGTCCTTTAGTTTTTCATACACTCTGTCTGAGGTGCCGAAAACCAGATTGTTTGTGAACACCTTGCTTAGGTATTGCACTGGGGTCAACCAGGACTGGATGAGAACCAGTGAAAACCGAAGAAGCTCCATGTCCTGAAATTAAGAAAAGAAAGGGTCAAAGCTGTGCAGGTGAGGTGTTTGCTAGAGTTACCCGTGTGTCCTGCTCCCTCTGAAACAGCCTGGAGGTGACCCAGAGATGTGCCACTGCTCTTGCAGCTTCAGCAGATACGGACAAGTTTGCAAGCTGAGGAGCACCACCCAGCCGTATGTCCTGTGCAGACAATAGTTTTTCTCATCCTCAGGGTGGGAATATGATTTATAGCATAACCCAGAAGAGTCTGTCTTTCTTCATGCAGGGTTTAAATAGTAAAAAAAGGAGAGGGGGAATGAAGCACTGAAGTGCTCACAGCTGGAAACCCTCTGTTCCTGTAATGAAGCACAGCCGGGCTCTTCAAACAGGTCTGTGCTTGCCCCGGGGGAGAGACCTTACCGATTTCTGCTGGGCGTCATCCTTCCCCGTGGGAGCAGGGATGGTTTCCGAGTAACAAAATGCTGCCTGGGAATTTTTGTTGGCGTGTCTTTGGTCCTCTGGAATATAGGTGCGTTCCTGTGGAGACATCCCAAATACACTCAGATCTGTTGCCTGTGTACTGGGAGAAGACCACAGACACTTTCCCAAGCTGTCCTGAACAGTTACTTTTTGCAAGAAATAAATGTGAGACATGAGGTGTCTCTGTACAGGGTTGGCAGGTAGGAAGCAGGAGTTTGTATGTTGGCACAATAGCTACTGGGCCTAAAGGTCTTCCTCTCACTAAGCCAAGGTGCTAAGATGAACGCAAAACACACTCGGACCGGGTTCTCCCAAGGAGTAAATGACCCCCAAGGACAGCTCTTGCCAAAGCGACAGCTCATGCCAGCTCCTGGCAACAGCAGAAACGGGATAGTTTTAAGCACTCAGAATCACCCAGGGCCAAAGGTGACCGACACGGGAAAGCCTTGCAAAATATCTGTGCCATCTCCCACTGCTTTCAGAGCCAGGCTTCTCTTTGAGACCGCTGGCCCCATGCAGTAGGTTTGGAGGTAGGCAGCAATGGCCCTGAGGAGGGGACTGTGCAGGGTCAGAGATGGGGGCAGAGAGCTGAGAGGAGGAGACAGGGTCCAGGCTGATGGGACATAACCTGTCCTGTCCTATTAAGACCCTTTCGCCTCATCAAGAGCTGACAGAGAAGACACCAATAGTTGAAAAGTCTCTGTTTCTAGGAAGTTACAAAGTCCTGAAACCAAGCTAATGCGGAGGAGATGCCCAGAGGCCACGACACTTACGAACTCTTTGTATGTCTCGGCAGCCAGGAGGTGAAGGTGCTGAGCCCTCAGCACGGCGTTGGCAAACAGGTTGGAAAGGGGCATGGCCGGGAAGGTGGCAGCTTCCTGTGGCCACTGCAGTCCCAGAGTGATCACAGCAATGAGGAGAGGAGAAAACCATGACCCTGCAGCAAAGCGGAGAGGAAAGGTGTTAGCAGTCCTTCAGCGGCTGTGCTGAGGAGGGGGGTGGCACCTGCGAATTAATACCCAGCCTCTTCTCTCCGTGCTGGCTGAGGGCTCACCTTCCTTGATGTCTTGTTGGACTCTGGGGGTGAGCTTAGCCCTCCCCAGAATCAAATGAAACCCCGTCCCCTTTCACTAGACGTGCCTTCGGGGCTTGTACTGCTCCCAGTGTTGTAAGCAGTGTCTTCCTGGCTGAAGAGTCATGGTTGCTCCATGAAAACTGGAGTGTGTCCCTGTGTTTTTCCCTAACATGCTTATGTTTTTCCGCAGGCCTTGCCCTCCTGCGGAGAGCACAGCGCACTCTTCATTGCGTGAGCAAGCAGGGCATGGTGAGTACCAGGTGAGGGCCTGGGAGTACCTCACTTTAGCCTTGGTTTACGCCATGCTGCTGATGTGAAACCGGCTGTCTGCCTTCACTAGGACGAGAGCTGATGACATTACCTGTGCTGTGACCAGCTACTTTTGCTCTCTGGGACATACCTGCAGAATTTGGTGATCTTTGTCAAACCTAAAGGTTTTCAACCTGTGACATCTAACTCACACAAGTGTCCATCTGTGCTTACAGAGACCACAGAGTTAATCTCAGACAAATACCCTTCGGTGGAGGAATGCCCTGGAGCCTGTGGGACTTGGATGTATGCACTAGACATCATCCTGATCCCTGTCTTAAGCTCGTATGCATTAGACATCATCCTGATCCCTGTCTTAAGCTTTGAATATAAGTTTTAATATCTCTGCCAACATTTATGTTAATAATAACTATTATAACTGTGGCTTCACCTTGTTATTCATGTTCTCCATCCTCTCCTTGCCCAGTTTAGGCTAATGACTACCTAAGTTAATTCATGGGTTAAAGTCACACTGTAGGGAAA